ATAATGAATCATAATGGTTGTCATAATGGTTATAATGGTTTTATTACAGTAATGAGAATGAGATCTTTTGCATTGAAAATACAGTTTTACAATACAAATTTTCATAAAAGAATGCAAAATCTTAATCTTTTTAAAGTTTTTATTTTACTTTATGCTGATTTAAACATATACAATTAGTATACAATTATACATTATATATGAACTATTACAATTTGACATTAATATTTATTTTAAATATATTTCATATATTTAGTCAAGTCCATCTGCTTCTCCTGAAGGGTAAAGTCAGCCAAAAATTGATGTGAACTGCAGATTTTAATCATTTTTTTTATACATTTTGTCTGTCAAATATGAATTGGCTGTGCTCAAATACAGTAGTAATTTATTAATTAAATTAGTATTTATTCATTGCAAAGTATTTATTGTACTGCCTTTTATTTAAATAGATAAATATATTACACTTTATGCTTTATGTGTATGTATGTATTTATATGTTATGTTATGTTATGTTATGTTAAATGTTATGAAGACTAATGGTTATTTTAAAAAAATACAGTACAACATTATCATTGCAGTAGATCGTTACATATGCAAATTTTGGTGAAAATTATCATGTAAAGATTGCAAAAAAACTATTTGTATTTTTTTAGGCATTTACACTGATTTAAACATTAAACATATTAAAATGTATTACATTGATTTTAAATATATTTAATAATTAGTCAGATTCACCTGCTTCCCCTGGAGAGTACAGTTAGCCAATATATGAATTAACTGTAATTCAATTTCACAATAATAATTTCAGTTAATCATTTAGTTCAGAATAATTTCGAATAATTAATATTTTAAAATGTATATTTTAAAATTAATATGTTTATCTTTTTATTGTACTGCCATTTATTGTATTGTAAATTTGAAATATATTTAATATATTTAGTCAAGTCCATCTGCTTCCCCTTAGGAGTAGAGTCACCCAAAAATTGATGTGAACTGCAGATTTTAATCATTTTTTTTATACATTTTGTCTGTCAAATATGAATTGGCTGTGCTCAAATACAGTAGTAATTTATTAATTAAATTAGTATTTATTCATTGCAAAGTATTTATTGTACTGCCTTTTATTTAAATAGATAAATATATTACACTTTATGCTTTATGTGTATGTATGTATTTATATGTTATGTTATGTTATGTTAAATGTTATGAAGGCTAATGGTTATTTAAAAAAAATACAGTACAACATTATCATTGCAGTAGATCGTTACATATGCAAATTTTGGTGAAAATTATCATGTAAAGATTGCAAAAAAACTATTTGTATTTTTTTAGGCATTTACACTGATTTAAACATTAAACATATTAAAATGTATTACATTGATTTTAAATATATTTAATAATTAGTCAGATTCACCTGCTTCCCCTGGAGAGTACAGTTAGCCAATATATGAATTAACTGTAATTCAATTTCACAATAATAATTTCAGTTAATCATTTAGTTCAGAATAATTTCGAATAATTAATATTTTAAAATGTATATTTTAAAATTAATATGTTTATCTTTTTATTGTACTGCCATTTATTGTATTGTAAATTTGAAATATATTTAATATATTTAGTCAAGTCCATCTGCTTCCCCTTAGGAGTAGAGTCACCCAAAAATTGATGTGAACTGCAGATTTTAATCATTTTTTTTATACATTTTGTCTGTCAAATATGAATTGGCTGTGCTCAAATACAGTAGTAATTTATTAATTAAATTAGTATTTATTCATTGCAAAGTATTTATTGTACTGCCTTTTATTTAAATAGATAAATATATTACACTTTATGCTTTATGTGTATGTATGTATTTATATGTTATGTTATGTTATGTTAAATGTTATGAAGGCTAATGGTTATTTAAAAAAAATACAGTACAACATTATCATTGCAGTAGATCGTTACATATGCAAATTTTGGTGAAAATTATCATGTAAAGATTGCAAAAAAACTATTTGTATTTTTTTAGGCATTTACACTGATTTAAACATTAAACATATTAAAATGTATTACATTGATTTTAAATATATTTAATAATTAGTCAGATTCACCTGCTTCCCCTGGAGAGTACAGTTAGCCAATATATGAATTAACTGTAATTCAATTTCACAATAATAATTTCAGTTAATCATTTAGTTCAGAATAATTTCGAATAATTAATATTTTAAAATGTATATTTTAAAATTAATATGTTTATCTTTTTATTGTACTGCCATTTATTGTATTGTAAATTTGAAATATATTTAATATATTTAGTCAAGTCCATCTGCTTCCCCTTACGAGTAGAGTCACCCAAAAATTGATGTGAACTGCAGATTTTAATCTGTTTTTACATATATTGTCTGTCATATATGAATTTGATTTTCATTTCAGCGAATCGGTTTTGCTTTAATTGATCTCATTTGTAATTTTTCCAAAGGCACTGAAACCATTTGCTTTCTGTGTCCAATCTGGGAAAGATCTCCCACATGTGATGCTTTTTTATGGTCATAACTGCTCATAAATCAGAATATTTGGAGCAAAGGGCTGCTTTCGCTCGGCTGCCAACTCTGCCAGGCTTGTGAAGCAACATTTGTCCTTTATCTTCTGGAGCTCTAGCCTCCTCCTAGGGATTTGATCCTTCATCCATTTGCCATGCCCTCATTTTTTTTCATTCCTTTGCTATTTATAGGAGCCTATTTAGACATTCTTTAACTCCCACTTTTTGATTACCGCCTCGCCTTCCTATGGGACCTTGTGATTTTAGATGCATTATTGAAAAATCATGATGCTGTTAAGGCCTTTAAAGGCTGCAGGATTAAGTATGAATTGGAACAGTTTTTTTTTCCCTATATGTCTTTTAAACACATTATGTGTAACATTGGCATGGATGTAGCTGTTTTTTTTAATTAGTCACCAATCAAATTAACAGTTATATTTACTAGCAATCACAAGTTTGGTATGTTTAGGTTTTAATATTTGTGACAGAAATGTGTTCACCAAGGCTGCATTTATTTGTTTAAAATACAGTGAAAACAGTAATATTACACTTTAATACAAAATCATAGAAATAATACTACAACTTAAAAAAAAAAAGTGTTTTCTGTTTGACTGTATGTTAAGCTGAATTTTCAGCAGCCATTACTCCAGTCTGCATTGTCACATGATCTTTATTTTCTATAAATCAATCAATCAAGTAAAGTCTGATTTGAAACAGTTTTTTTGTGCAACATTGGCACTTTATACAATTAAATTAAATGAAATGTAATTTAATTAAATTTAATTACATTTACTTAAATTAAATTTAATTTCCACATCAGTTTTAATGCTTCCTCAAAAGGCAGGCACCAAGGCAGTGTGTTTTCTATGGTTATTAGTTAAATTCTTTGGTTATTAGTTATATTAGTCAAATTTGCCTTCAAGTTTAATGTTGCCAGCCTAATTGTGATCCTCACTGGTTTTGCACTACATAAATACTTCTATGTTAAATTAAATGTTATCTGACAGTGCATTCATAATACATATCTCCCCTTTAAATATCTTTAATGTAGTTAGCTACTTTTTCTAAAGGAAAAGCTTGATTGTAGCTAAACTACTTTATGAGAAACTTGTAGCATAATAAACAAGTTTTTAAAGCAGCTTCTCCAACACATTGGCATGTTGTTTGGCACAGATTCCTGAATGACGCAAATGCGAAATGTTCTTATCTTCCGAATCGGTCGTCCATTAGACCGCATTACTCCACTTTTAATACATTACTCGGGTTCAATCTCCCACTTTGCCTCATCCTGAACTGGTTTTAAGCACAGCTCGATAAATAACTCTCAGGATTAGACAAATATGGGCACTTTGCTCAGTGTGGGAGAGCCAGTGAATCACAGATGTTACTGGGGGGAAAAGCCACAAAGGATTGATTACATCAGAGCGAAAAGCCTCTTTCTTTGATTCTGGTCACCCCCACAGACTCTACAAATCTTGCGCTCTTTTCCCAGCAGGACAGCTTAAGGGAGGAAGCAAATTTTTCACAATGTACAGGTTTCAACATCACTCACTTTTTAATTTCGTACGGCTGAAGCTTGAAGGAGCTGCCTTAGTGAAACTCGCACTGCCATTAAAACTCCATGAAATGTCAAAGTCGGTGGGTGTTCAAGGGTTGAAACTATTCCCATATTCCCTGTTTTATTTTGTTTTTTTGTTTTGTTGTTTTATGTATTTTTTTTATACATTTTGTCATTAATTATTTGTTATCATTTAATATTCATTTATTTTTATTCTTTATTATTTTATTTTACTTGCAAATTTGTTGGTGGAATGATTTTGTTTGTTTGTTTAATATACAAAATAAAATAAATTATGTATTTAAATGATTTTAAGCTTTTTATTGTATTTTATTTATATTATTGTTTATATATTATAAATATTATATAAATATTATCTTTTATAATAAATAAATATTTTATATTGCAAATTTTTATAAAATAAAGTTTTTTGTTTTTTGTTTTTTGTATATTTTTGCATATTTTGTTTTATATGCACGCAACTTTGCAGTCTCCTCTAAAAGGCTTTGTCCCTCAGGATTTTTGCAAGTGACTAATCCACATCAAACTTAATTTGTAGTTCTTACCCCAAAAGACCGATTTATAAAGACAGCAAGCACATGTTCTTGATCTTGACCATTTCAAACAACATTTCAAGTGCATGAAACAAGACAAAAAATATTAATAGATTTAGCTTCATCTCATGATTCCTTCAGTGCTTTTGATTTACTCTCGGTGAGAGAAAAATAATAGTTACAGCAACTGTAAGCAAAGGCCAATCCGTGCAAAAATATGCATTAGAATATTTCAAATAATAATTTGGGCTGTATTTTGACAGACATAAATATATAACAGAATGTCCAAAGTGCAAAACCAACAGTATACTCTTGAATCCAGTACTGAATGTGAGGTTGAGTAGATGTCTTCTTCTTTGATTCCTCTCAGAGGGCCAAGTGTTTGTCTCCAGCCCCTGACCTGAAAGAGAGCATGTATGGTTCCTCTTCACAGCTAAAGCACAACCAACTTGAACTCTATCAGAAGATACTTTTGAAGCTAAGATGGGTTTCCTGACTAGTGAAGCAGGTCTTGGATTGCTGTAAAGGGCAACTTCCACCCTGAGTGCTGGATTCCCATTACACACCGCAAACCTCAGAAGCATTTCCTTCCTTTCCAGAGCGAGACATCAACAGTCGACTAGACTTTCAAATGAAACTGTGAGGGGTTTGTGCCTCTATAAAAGCTGCAGTCATGATTCTAGGGTGAACTAATGCCTCCAATTCACTTTCACTCACTCTTTACACTTTATCTTCAACATTTTCAAGCGACCTATTGTTTTGGGGCAAGACATCCTCAGGGGCCATCATGCCCCAAGGGTCCAACTTTCCTCAGATCTAAGTCAATTGTTCTACCCTTAGTCCGCAGTGATCAAATATGCATACAATATCAGAAAATTTGATCAGTTTACCTCAAAACTGTTCTAATGAGATTACTCTCACAAATACCGTTGCTCAGATGAAATGTCAACATGAATTAGTGCGTACGTAATTTGTAAATATGCTGAAGGGAGTTTAGCAGTTCATTTACATTTATGGTAAATAGGAAAATTAAATATATATAATGCTTTTTATTGTCTACTAGATACAAACCGTATGTTTAATCAATTATGTGCATGCAAATGTGACAGAAAATTGATGAGACCGTCTTGGCATTAGTATAAGCTATGGCTGAAACGATTAGTCAACATTGTCGACAATAAAAAATTGTCAACAAATATATATTTTTTTCCTCCCATTTTCACCTCAAAATTTTGGGGAAGCTGTGCCTCACCTGCCTCCCCCGATGAGCCGCCACTGCAAATGACCTAATATAAGGGCCAGCAATAACGTGGTTTGACCAGTGTGGTGCTGTAGTGCAATTCAGCCCTCTCGGACAAAATCCAATGGAAGACACACTTATGCGAAGGGCAAACAAAGCCGAAGTGTAGGAACGTTTTACAAAAATACAAACAAAAAATGCTGTCGATGCACTCACTTTGAAGTTCTTTTCCATTCTTCGGTTAGAGGAAAAAAGAAGTTCGATATATGCAAGCAGCGGTTTACTGTTAGCAAACATCTCGACACCGCTGAGCACTGTGTTTAGATAAATGTGTAAACTTATACTTCACACTTTCCTCTCAATAAAAAAAAAGTAAATATACAACAAACATGACAGCGGTGAGAAAACAGCCGTTAAAAAAAAACACTTTATTCAATAGACTGCTTTAAAGCAAACAGCTTTACCGTATTAAACATGACAAAACAGTGTCAGTGATACTTTCAGTTAGAATTACCACTTAATTTTCTGCTATAAAGCATCTCTATATGTACTGTATATGAATATGTATAGAATAGATATAACTCAATACTTTAACAAATTGCAAAAGCTGAATAATCAGTCAAAGCCTACTGATTAATCAGTAAAAATAATCAACAAACAGTTGATTAATCACTCTAATAATCATTAGATTATTCAATTATCAAAATAATCTTTTGTTGCAGCCCTAGTGTGAGCAATAACAATAGTCATGGTCATTTTAGCAAAACCTCTACAAATCAGTAGATAATACGAGAAATGCAGTTATGCACGCATACTTTACTGAAAGCTCTCGTCTTCCCATGCATTTGAGGCCTGAGGAGATATTATGGGCATTTCTAAGTAATCTAGGATCATATTGTGTCTGAAGCAGATGATTTACAGAGAAATCAATTTACAGATTGAGACATACAGGAAGAGGCAAAAAATAGCAGAGAGAGCGAGAGATACAGATGCTCTCTGGCAAACACTGTCAGATGCCCATTATGACCGCTTACACGCCAAACCTTCAGCAGGTGTTTTTAATGTAGCCTATAAACATTTAATTTGTTATGGAATCTGAGGATAGACATAAACATAATTTACATTTTCTGAAGAAAATGCGAGTGGATTTTAACTGTATAAAACTCGCTACTAAATTGTCCAAGTTTCTCTGAAAATGTCGCCAAGTTTCCCAGTATTTACTAAGCCATTGTTAAAGTGCCCCTATTATGGATTTTTGAAAATAACCTTTCATGCAGTGTAACACAGCTCTAAGTGAATGAAAACATCCTGCAAAGTTTTAAATCTGAAAGTGCACCGTGTATAAAGCTATTGTCGCTCAAAAGAAAGAGTCGACTCTGAATCATTGAAACGAGTCGTTTTTAAAACGAATCCCAAGCCATTTCATGTTGACGTCAAAATGAAACATTCGCATATTGCCTGCCCACTTGTTGGTCTTTTCGTGTTGGTCTGCATGAAAATGCAAATTCATTATTTGCCACTAGGTGCCGCTTTTGGAGCGGTAAAATAGCAGTAAAATAACGCTGTGCACAAAGCAGCACTGCGCTCACAAACGCTGCTTTATCAGGCATTACAGGCATGATGAAATGAAAATGAGACAAATCACCACAGATTAGCATCACACAAAAATGGAAAAATGCATCGTTAAACGAATCGTTTGGGAGTCGTTGAGCAAATAAGGTAAAAATGAATGCATATTATAAGACAATGGAAGTGTTTTGTGACCTTGCATGCATGTCAACCGGTTGTTGGGGACTCCCAAAACCAAAATATGAACCTTTTATTACCCATAATAGGGGCACTTTAAGATGTTCTGTAATGTTGTTAGGGTGTTCTGAGTGGTTGCTAGGGTGTTTTGGGTGGTTGCTAAAGTGATTTGGGTGGTTGCTAGGGCATTGTGGTTGCTAGAGTGTTTTTATTGTTTACTAGGAAGGTGATTTTTGGTCGCTAGAACACTGGTAGATGTTGCAAAGATATTCTGTGCCGTTAAGGTGTTCTGAGTAACTGCTAGGTTCTGGGTGGTTGTTATCCCTTTCTGTGTTGTTAGGGTGTTTTGTTTGGTTGCTGAGGTGTTCTGAGCAGAGTTTTTATTATTTACTAAAACTTTTAAAGATATGGTAGGCAATTTCGGATAGGTAAGATCCCACCCTCCCTGCAAATCACTCTCGAAAGCCACGCCTCCTCCAAAACACATGAACGTGCACAGGCAGACCAGAGGCTAACCAGCGACACTTGCTAGTATTTTGAGTGATTAAGCAGCACTAATTATCACGTCATGTCAAATAAGCTTTCTACAACATTAATTTGTCTTTGAAACTCTATATTAGAAACTGAAAGGTGATGTAACTATAATTTAAAGCTGAGTGGCTGCTTCCACATTTCAGCACATAATGTTTTAGTGTTCAGTTTTTTTCTTCTTCTTTTGTAACATGTCCTGTTCTGTAAAGTGATCTCCTCTACAAACCAAAAGATGTGAGGACACTTGCATGAGCGTAGCACAAATAAGTTATTTTTAATTATCCCTTTTGAGCCTGACATTTGAAGGATGATTTATTTTATTTTTTTTGTAAAATTGGAATGGTTTAAATAAATAAGTACATAAATAAATAACGTTTGCATATGTGATTTGTTGAATATTATATTTGATACATCAGGCATTTATGGCTCATTTAGTTTATTTGTGGATAAGAAGATGAAATTCTGCTTGTAATGTAAATCAATTAGATTTGTATAACAATATAGCAAACTACTTATGTAACTGACTGTTTGTGGACTGCAGTCTTAAAGTCATTCCACAGATTTTTTATGGGGTTTAAGTCTGGGCTCTGATTAGGCCATGCAAAGACATTCACCTTTTTTCTCCTTCAACCACTGTGTGCTCAGTGTTGCTGTGTGCTTTGGGTCATTGTCATGTTGGAAGGTAAACCTTCTTCCCATTGACAACTTTCTGGCGGAGGGCAGCAGATTTTCCTCAAGAATTTGACGGTATTTTGCCCCATCCATTTTTCCTTCTATCCTGACAAGTGTTCCAGTCCCTGTTGCAGAGAAACACCCCCATAACGAGATATTACCACACCCATGCTTTACTGTAGGAATGCTGTTATTTGGTTGGTGAGCTGTATTGGATTTCTGCCAGACATATCGTTTGGTGTTGAGGCCAAATAATTCAATTTTAGTCTCATCTGTCTCAGAATCTTCAAGGTGCGTTTTGGCAAAGCTCAGTCGTGACTGCATGTGGCCTTTCTTGAGGAGTGGCTTATTTTTTTGCAACCCTCCCATAAAAGCCACATTTGTTGAGAATTTGTGATATTGTTGTCACATGTACACAGTGACCACTCTTCGTCATAAATTCCTGCAGCTGCTTCAGAGTTGCTGTATGTCTCTTGGTCACCTCTGACCAGTTTCCTCCTGGTTCTTTCATCCAGTTTGGAGCGACGTCCTGAACCAGGGAGGGTCTGTGTTGTACCAAATACCTCCCACGTCTTAATAATAGACTTCACTGTGCTTCTAGGCATTGATAATGCCTGTGAATTGTTTTCTTTTTTTGTATCCATCTCCTGACTTGTGCCTGTCCACGACTTTATCC